TGGCAGAGGGGACCAGAAGACTGAATTCTGTGTGTGAACGTTCTGTCACATCTGCTAAAGGCCTCTGATATGACCACAAAGGTTGCTTCTTGTACCTTGTTTACTACTTTTGTGAAGAGTGAAGCCTGTCTTCCTCTGTCACATGTTCCGACCCTGGTGCACGGGTGGATTCCATACTGATGTCCATACGTTCACATGGGTAACGTTTGGTTCGCAGTTACTCATTTTACTGAAGTCGTGTGGAATGCAAAGTGAACAACATTTGAAAGAATGCAAATAAATTCAGGCTGCGGATGCTCTGGATTTGTTAATGTGTTTTGTGTGTCTTTGCAGAGAAGACGAGCTGAGAGGCAGCAGCGCTCCAAGAAAGTTGGAGTCCGGTATTATGAAACTCACAACGTGAAAAATAAGAATAAGAACAAGAAAGCTGGCTTGGAGGGACAAAGATCAAAGCACAAAAAATACAAACATAAGCAATAACGACTTATTCTATTAAATTTTACATAAAACAGCTCTAGTGTGCAGTGGGGTTTTTTAATATAAAAATTGTAGTTCCCATTCAAAGCCTCGTTTGTCTCATCTGTCTCGTTCCCAGGAGCAGCATCTCGCTTTTGTTTCTGCTTCATCTGAAAGTTCTTTATGCAGTTGGAGATTGTGTATTTCCACATCTCCACCTAAGGCCAGTAAACGCTGCTTTGGCAAAACGTATCCTGAACTGTTACTTGGTGCTGGGGTTTTGTTGGGGTTTTTGGTTGGTGGTTGTTTTTTTTCTGGAAACTATGGGGTTTTTGGTGTGACTACAGTGAATTTTCTTTGCCGTGTCTGCCTGCTGTGTATGAACTTAGAGTTACACAGATACCTCACGTAAAGATTTCGTGTGCTTGGAAACGGTCTCACAGCCCTTTGTTTCATTAGAAGTAGCTGCAGGGAGAGGTGCTGTATTGCTCATACTAACTCCTGACAAAGGAATTCTGATTTACAATTAACACCAACTCGCACCCACTCAAGGAAATACCCTCTGAACACCTGCCCGAGCATTAGCTGCAATTTGTTTCTTAGTGAACATGACTTCAGTTTATTGTGGACGCTTCATATAGTGTTTCTGACTTTTTTTGGAACCTTTTCAAATTAATAACGCTACAGAGGTGCTTGCAAAACGGAACGCCTCTAAGTTTATTGCTCTGAAGGTCATCTAGCATATTAGCAACAGGCATGTCCCCAGGTTCACTGTTCAAGGAGCTGAATGCTGAGATGGCACTGGAAGAGGGTGCAGTAGTTAACGAAGCTGCTGAATTTCAACTCTGACAGAAGAAGAAAGAAATAATGCAACTACACTGCCTTCAGTTACCGGTAAGTGAAAACTCAAAACTGTTTTATGGAGACAAATCTTTGTCACTAATTGCAAACTTCTTGCTCTGACAGCTCTTCTGAGCGCTGCCTGGAGGACAACAGAAAAAATCTACTTATTTGGTGCAATGATGCTTTCAAGTTGGGCCTGGAAAACAAATGAGACAGTAAGTTAAATTAGATTCAACCTAAAAAACAAACCCACAGTGCTGTAAAGTGATAAATTGGCTGTTAGCTACGCAAAGCGAGGAGCTGAGAGATGCTGCAACACTTCAAGAGAAGCAGGCCGGGGTGTTTTTCCCTAGCTTTCCATTCCTTACTACATGTTTTATAAATTAGCTTTTCATTCTTGGCATACACACTTCTTGCATTCTGAGGAGAAAAAAGCTGGCCTGGGTTCCATACAATGAAAGACTCGTTTTACAATGTAAAGCATTGAAGAGGAAATGAAATAAAAGCTGTTGAAACAGTGGTCTGGGTTCTCTGATTTCAGGCTGGACTATGTTAGCTGAATTAAATATTTGGCGTTCTAGCATTTGGAACACCGACTCTGGGACAGCAGGAGCTGGGAACAGCAAGTTTTTCAGCCACTGAGACAACTTGACGCCCAGTTCACAGTTGCCGGGAGAGCTCCCTGTGCCCCGGGAGCGCAGAGTGCCCGAACCTGCCAGGACTCTCCACCAGCTTCTTCCTCAGGCTGCCCTCAATGTCCGCTACAGAGCTGTGGGAGTTCTTGGGCTTCCACGGAGGAGACACGTATTTGATCCAACAGTGACTCTGTTGTGTGCCCTAAAACACTGCAGGGTGGCCTGGAGACGGTAACGGTTTGGAAAGGAGAAGCTGTGGGAGCAGTGGGGATACGGAAAGCAGCTCGGTCTGAAAGAAAGGGCTGGAGCCAGAAACATTTAACATAGTTTATGGAAACAGTTTTTCTTGACTCGTAAGACATGGGATGTTTTCCTTTCAAAAGCAGATTAGCAGAAGCTCAGTTTTCACCAAAGCAGCACGCACAAAATTACTCCTGTAATTGTGCCCTCTCGACTGCATAAGTACACAGTTGCTCTTATTAGGAAACATTTAACGTTTAGTGGTGTGTTCCATTTAATGAAAGTGGAACGTTAATGCAAATGCATCTTAAATGCAACACTTCTAAAACTACAAGGAGAAAGCTGTTCTATCTATGTATCTTTCTTTCTAATTACAAAACTAAAAGTTTTATCGTTGCTTTTTGGAGCTGTGTGGATTTTTACTCACCTTCAGCTGTTGATTCATTTGTTTCAGGTGCTGAACCTCTTCAGTGTGTTTCTTCTCTTCTAGCTGTCGCTTTTCATCCTCACGCTTTTCAATAGCTTTACACTTGGCTTTCTCTTCGCTCACTTGTCTTTCCAACTCCTGCTTTTGCCCTTCTAGTTCTGCAATCTTGGGGAAACAGACAGAGCTCTCTCAAGTTTTGCTTGTTAATAATCAGTTTTCAGTTAAGATGGGACAAAGGTGTGTGCTGTGCAGTCATTGAAGTGTTTCGGATGCAATAGCACCTAATTAATGAAGTGTAATTCAGCCCTAGGAAAAGGGTATTTTGATGATCTTTACTGCCATCCAGTGGAAACAGCACTACCTGGTTTCACGTACGATTTTCTGTGTGATATCCCTATGCTGTATCAAATGCAGAAAACTCTCAGCACAGGGTTAACGGCCCAACTTACTCTTTTTTCCATGTCAGCTTTGCCTTGCTCAGCCTGCAGCGCCTTCCGCACACCGAACGCAACGCTGCTCTCGTACAACGTCTGGTAAGCAGCAATTGTCATCTGGATTTCATCCCTGACGCGAAGCAGCAGCAGCCCTCGCTCGGCACAGTTAATTGTAGTTTCACGGATCAATTCATCTTCAAAGAAAGGGTACAGCCACATAGTTAGAGTAGCTACTGTGCATGATCCAGCAATGCTGGGGACAGTCGGGGTCCAGACCTGCTTGGTTTTTACCCACTCTCTGCACCACAGAAGCAAGATGGATTTACTAGAGAATGATAATTTGTTGTTACATTACAGCACATAAAAGCGAATGGTAACAAGACCTGTGCTAACGAGACACTGATCTACTAAAGCTGTAATGGCAAACACCTAAACATTCTGAGTGATTTTTTGCAGTTACTGGGAAGCCTCCAGGAGCACTGAGAGCCTCGAGAAGAACCCTGCTCAAACCAAAGGCCATCTCTTGCAGTGGGACGGCAGCACCGCACCACCAGAGCACACAAGAGCGCTTAACGGGTACAACGCCTTTTGAACTACCTGTTGGGTTAAGCACAAAGAGCATTTGAAGCTTCTTTGTGACGTTTACTACCACGTACGCACACGGGTGCCTTTACAAGGTGTATTCTGGGCGCCACCCGTGTGCCCATCGTACCG